CCGATCAGTCGACTCAAGAAGTTGTAGACAAAAAGCTTTTGAGAGCATTGAGATGCATAATCCAGCGAATTGAGAGCAGCTACCGCTGGCTTAGAACTTCCAACTGGGTAAATTTAAATTCACATCAGAGCTTGTCTGAGTCCATATGGAAATATATTAACCAAAGCAAATAAACAAGTGTATATCAGCCGACAACCTTTTTATTTCAGTTTCACGTTTATTGATAACTTCAAATTTTAATTAGAGAGACATCAACAAATATAACAAATAAAAAATACAAAAAATATATGAACAACAAAATACAAATATTTACAAACATTAGCGGGGAAAAGATATTAACTAATGAAAAGTTTACCGTTATTGGTATATATAATATAATTAACTTTTTGTGCGTGGGAGTAAAATGAAATAACCCAGCAGTAATGGTATATGTAAAAGGTGTTGCCATTATGCCTTTCTCATAAAAAGCCTTGCCCCAATTGGCAAAAACAAATATGGAGAATTGGTTTTCCCAGTCTTCTCTTGAGGCCAATTCTTCACCAGCCAAATCATTCGCCATATACAGGAATAGATGTTAATCACTTTGTGAGAGACCCGGACCATTAGGTGGATGCAGAAGAACCTACCTACCAAGCTCTCGAAGCTTCTGTCGAATCACTATCGGTATATGTGGTCTGACGTTCTCCTGATGAAACACAATTCCCCTTCTGCTGGCCATAGCTGGGCGCTTTCAGGCGATTGCTTCCATCAGACGATTCAAATGCTGACAGTTTAATGAATATAGAGTTTGGCCTTAAGCTGTTTATAGTGGATGATTCCTTATTAATCACGCTAAACACAACAAAATCTCCCTGGTCTTCTATCTTAGCTTGAAGACTGTTTTTGCCGGCTCACAGCCCTTCGATCACAGCAGCGTTTCGCAGATAAAAAATCGGTCCTTGAGGATTTTTTTCGTTAACTCATCTGGCGCTCATACATTGGCCTTTTTTGTGTATGCAGCCTTTTTCAAGTGATCTCAAACTGCGAAACAGTTCTCGCATGGTAGTCAGATTCGACGGTTTCCAATATTTTAACGATATTTTCGACAGTAAGCATTTCAGACCGTGGAGCATCTTTTACATCAAAAATACCGGAATGAAATCGACGAAACTAAAATTGTGCAAGATAGACTGCTACAGTATCAGGATCATAAACACTGTTTACGTTTTCAGCTGTCTGACTTACATGTGCGCCTCTTTTAAAGTTAAAATATAGAATATATCATATTTGCTCTTTGCTGATGTCAATCTTTGCCAGGCGCTCAAACACTACTGAGTTAAGTGAGCAACATTTCTTCCTTTGTTTTCTTTAGCACAAAATATCATCTTCCTAAAGCCATCTAGCGTAATCTAATCACACTTATAGAACGCAAGATACTGATCACTAAAGCCAGCTATTCCAAAAAAAAAGATCTGGTATTTTTTTGATTGAAAATACAATCAACATTTTAAAGAAATAATTGTGCTTCTTAATGCCGAAAACGCATGCTTCTTCTTTTACACACGCTTTATTTCAACTAAGAATATCCCAGCAAACATTAGTGGACCCTGTGGTATATAGTAGTAATCCAAAGGCACTCCTCTGTAGTATGCTATTGGATCAGCTTGCGCCGCGCTATCTGTTTCTCGTTAGCCGATGATTGCTTGTGTTTTACCGATCGCAATGAAGTCGAGTCAGTTTCGGTTTGTTGGTGAGCTTTACTGTTTCACCAAAGACGTGCCGATATTTGAGCTAATATATTCCAAAGCCATATTGAACAAATGGGCAAACTGAAATATCTTTATTAGTAATAAACTATTACCACTAATTTTAATTTATATAATAAATATAATTTTATGCTCTACTAATTTTGGGTTTAAAACCTGCTGAAGGTACTTCATGGAGTGTTTTTTCGGAGTAGTTTCAAAACTAATTTCCTCATGCATAAATATTCATATACACAAATATTTTAAAATTGTAAAATGCATATGTATTTTAATTATTATTTTATTACATAGAAATATTGCCTAATGTCATAAATGTCAGCGGCGCAGCTACTGTAAGTAAAATTATGTGACATTGACATTTCCAACTGAGGATATTAGCATTTTCAATGAATTTTTAATTAGCATGACATGCCTGCTGAACTTGTTTAGATTTCGGCCTGTTATTGATATAAATGTAATAATCAAAGTTTGCTTGTGTCAAAAATTCTATTCAAATATCGAATTTACGAAGAATTCATAACTAATTAAACAAATTAGTAAATAAACTGGAAACATGTTGGGCCATTAAGCGTACATTTGCGAATATTTCAGGCGTATATTGTATTTCATAACAGAAATAATTTTTTTTTATTTTGCAAATTAATGTTTTCCCGTTTTTGTAAAAATAATTATTCCTCTTTTTTGAATAACTTTGTAATAAAATTTACTAAAATTATGTAAACCAAATGCAAATAGAAATTGTAGCTCTGGGTATTCATTTTTATAGAAATTCCAAATTTTCTATTATTTTAGTGAAAAATAAAAACCGTTTCAATTACACAAAATTTATGAGTCATTTTTTTATACCTGAGGACGGTATCATGATTCCACACAAGATACTTCGATGCGGCCAATTTAATAACTCTGTCACTTACCGTTAATACGAGTATTAATTCTCTACATCCAGAAACAGGATGAAAGCCCATAAGCTACCGCATTGTAATACGTCTTTCAAATTGTTTAAGCATGAATCATGAATATCCTCACCATACTTTTAGGCATTAGTTTTTTGCTTTCAGTCGTTTTAGGTACTACTACTATATATGATATGAATGTTTGTAAATGTATAATCATGACGTGAACAGTGAAGCAATAAACTTAAAGGGTATATTAGATGCTTAACTTAGGCTGCTTGATTGATATGGCATTAAGGCATTCTTAGAAGTTTGTCAACACCAGGAATTCCAAGAATTCCGTGGAGCACCCCCTCGTACCCCCTCAAATCCACAAAAGAGCCACAGCGCTCAAATAAATTCCCATCGCAACAAATGTAATGCTCTCCCCGCCCCATTTCCAATTTCTCACCTGGAGCTCAAACGTCGAGCTATATAATGTAAATATAGTAATGGTCACCAGGCATTACCTTTAGATTTTACTATGGATTCCATACCCGAACTCAATTGAAAGCTAGACGCCTCGATGAATAAATTCAAGGGTATTATTTAACATCATCTTTCCCTAATCCTAGATATTCTCACCTCTCTAATACAGTGATCACCCGTCTACTGCGACCGAAATGCTGTTAGAACTGGCGTTTTCTAACCTCTGAAGGGATTTCTCGGCCGAGCTTCTCCCCCGATTTGTGGTTTTGCGTTTTGATGTTTTTTCAACAAATGGAGGGGCCTACAATTTATACTAAGTCGCCTCCGAACGGCTAATGGTTTTTTTACGAGGAGCCTTTATTTCATGTCCGAAATACACTTGGAGGCGTGGACCTTCCCTGCCGAAATTTAGCATATATTTTTATTTAAATTAATTTTCTATAACTTTTTGGATATTAGTACGATACCAGAATTTAATCCCGAGCCTTCCGGATGGCAGTACGCAACGCTAACAACTCGGCTACCGCGGCACATCTCTCAGTCCGCATATGACTTCTTTAAAAGTTTTTCAATATTCTTCTTCCAGTTCAGTTTTGGTATCAATCTGATATTTCTATGAATTGTATAAGCATTGAGTCTAAGCTGAAATGGTGGCATTTTAGTTTTATTTATGAATAGCATCACTCTATCACAGCCACTAGGATATGATCAGAATGAGGAGCTAACTTGATTAAGAAATGACCGTCTATCTGTCTGTGCATAACCATTCGAGTTTCTTAAGTCTTAATTAAACTCTATTCATGGAAGGTAATAGACTTCGAGTTACTTTCGTCTTAGTAATTTTCGATCTACTATTGAAGATACATATCAGAGATAGTCAGAGATTTTTTTGCTTTTTTCGATTCTAAAATTCTTTCAAGAAATCGTGAATTATTCTATGTGCTAATGTAATGTAGGTCAGAAATTTCTTAATTGGGGTTACATTGTATATTATATAATATAATAATTAACCTGAAGTAAATGGAACCATAAATATCTATGATATTTTCAATAAGATCCATGCATGATCCATCTTCGATCCAAATTGGTGTGTATCAAGGAAATCGGTTCGAAGATTCTTCAGCTATAAGCATAGCAATGAATATCACTATTAATTTTATTTATTACTAGCTGACCCTCCAGTGTTGTCCTACGTGAAATGTTTATTTATTTTTTTTTTTTTTTTTAGAAATGAAAGTTGAATATACAAAAATAATTTGCCGACGATATATCAAAAATTTTTAATTTTTCAATGTGATACAGACTGAGAAATGTCCAGAGAAGAAGGTTTTCCACTCGTGAACAGGCCACGTACAGCTGGCCGTATGAAAGACATGGCATTTCCAAATGTATGTTACACACAGTCCTTGTGACGGTCCTTGCGACCTATTCATTGACGCATTAAAAATCTTTCACTACCTATCTCATATTTAAAAAAAATTTTCTTTCCCGATAAATAAAGCAAATAAATTTAGACAAAAAAAAATTTTAAAAAAGAAATTGTATTGAAAACTGACACTTTTTGGAATTTTCCAATATTCCGGATTTTTGCTTGGGGAATGTATAAGTTTTTTTATTTCTTAACCTTCCCAGAACCACAACAAACAACCTCTGAAAAATTCATCAAGATAAGCCGTTTTCGAGCCTTGGCCTCGCTAACAAACAAACAACCATTTTTATATATTAAAATAATAATTGAAACGAATTCTAAAAGTCAAAAAATATTTACAAAAAATTTGTATATTTTACTCATTCAATAAATTATCGCCCTTCAACCCCTCAAACCCCTACAACCGCAATCAACAAACCGAACGCGCAACCACTTGACGGTTGCCGATATGCTGCATGCATGCAGGCGATGCAACGGGCGGTATAAGCCGCGATGATTTCATTGACAATGTCGCTTCGGGCATATTGCAAAAACTACCGGTGGCATTTGAAGTGTGGCGCGTCAGAAAGCAGGTTCAAATGAATCTTACACCGACGGGTGTGGTGTTGCTGCAAGAACTGGAACGCTTTAATTTGCTGGTAATACGTATGAAGAAAACACTCGAGCTGCTGCGAAAGGTAAGTGAAAGCACACACACGCATATATTGCATATATACAGCAAAAATATTTAAATAATTAAATTAATGACGACAAATTGCCACATCCGCTCCTTACTTATACATTCCTACATACTTATACATGCATACTATGCAAGCATACATATATGTATATAAGTGAGTGTGAGTGTTAGTTGAAAATTTTGTGAGCGATTTTATTTAAGCGTCACTAATTTCAACGCTGTCGTCAAGTGTGGCAAACTCAAATGTTTACTTACCTTTCACAAGCACATAACTACGCACACACACAGTCACACATAGAATGCTTAAAAGGAAATCAACCAAAATTTTACTTCGTACTTACATACGTACGTAAGACTAATGATTGCAGCACAAAACAAAGAATCGAAAAGCCATACAAGTGAGAGGAATGTTTTAATTAAACTTTTCAAATTAAACTCAAATTGACACTGCAGAAGTAGTGATTCTGTAGGAAGAATGAAACCAAGTAAAAAAAATTAAATATCAATAAGGCATAAGGAAGATGGAGCGAAGATAAAAACAATAATAATTCGTAGTAACTACGAGTATGTCTGTAAAATATCAGTAGCGGTAACTATGGGAAAGGGAACCAACTTCGTCATTAAACTTATGATTTCGCTCTTGATGTAACCTTCTATTCTATGAGCACTGACATTATAGAGTTCTTGTATCTTGATATACACTACAGAATTTTCCAATAAAAGGTGTTATTTAGATATTTATACCACCTATTGGATGTTCATTGCAATGTAAAGAGGAAGATATGCCAATAATAATGGAAATGGATATTAGCCTACAGAACCGTGTCCTTTTTATTAAATTTTCCATCACGAAATCCCAAAATGGATGCTCTCAGTAGCCTTACGAATTCTATGTTTGAAGTCTTGAATCCTCATCTATCACGTGCCCTCAAAAAAAGAAATCGCAAAGTCTTAAATCACAAGATCACGCTGGCCAATTACGATCGTCTTTTCGTTAGACAACACGATCCGGAAACTTTTCCCTTAAAAGATCGATGGTTTCGTTGCTTCTGCGGCACGTGGGGCCTTTTGGAAAAACTAAACGTTGCCCGGACCAATACCATCCAATTCCTTCAATAAAAATCATTAATCCTCTCGATAGCACCATCTATTCCTCCTTAACTGCTGCTCCAGCGGCATTTTCGAAAAAATAACGTCCAATGACCCCGTCGGACCATAAACCGCACCAAACCGTTATACGTTGAAATTGGCGATGCCTTTCAACAAAAAATCTTGTGTTGTGTTGTGTTGACATAACCATCGACGTGGAGCTGGCTTTATCAATCAAGATGATTTTTCGGTGAAAATCCGGATTTGAAAGGACCCATTCAGAGACAGCGGAGGAAATAGGTTGGTGACGAGTTCTTTGTCAACTGGATTTCAAAAGCCTTGCGACCCAAGTCTTAATGCCAAATACGATGTACTGACGTTCATGGAATGCCCAACTTCAAAGAGCAGCGTGTAATGGACAAACCTGGAGTTTCTTCAACCCTTTGGGCAACAGCAGCAATATACTCAATTGTTCTTGAGACTAAATTCTTCTAATCGCGATTTAGTTCCAACGGCTTCATTTTTCCCACAAGTTTCTATATTTCGGCCCACAAATGCTTTAGTTTTACAAACTGTCTCCACCAGGTTTTCACCATTTTTATTACTAGCGTCGTTTTTACTTGTCAGGTTTCAAAAGTGACATCTTCCGGAATACCGGACTATTCAAAATAACTCTAATTGGAAAACTCTTTAGATGAAGGGGAAAATTTATACCAATCAGGTCAGAATGACGAGTTGAGTAGATTCCTTCTATTCGTCTGTGAGTATGCAAACTAGTTTGAGAAGTTTCAACCTAACTTGGTATACAAATGAACTTGTACTTGGTCAAGTCCTTCTTAAATAAAAACATCTACAAATCCCCATGCGCTCAATACTCAAAAGTTATAGAAAATTAATTCAAATAATGAATTAAATTTTCTAATTGCAGTCGCCCCTTGGCCGGGAATGTCCACCCCTCCGAGTGTATTTCGGTTATGAAATAAAGGCTCCTTCAAAAAAACCATCAGCCGTTCGGAGGCGGCTTAGTATAAACTGTAGGTCCCTCCATTTGTTGAGAAAACATCAAGACGCCGAACTCCTCCTCCACTTTGCGGTTATTGCAGAAGAAGCTCAGCGGAAAATCGCTTCAGCGGTTACAAAGCGCCAATTATGTATTCTATATATATATATATATATACAAATGAACATTTACACACACCGAAAATCATCGAGATAGAATATCTACAACATATAGCCTCCTCCAATTTTTCAGTTAGTATCAAACGGCTCGGGAGGTCCTTTCCAATTCTTAGGAAGTTGTTAGGGCTGCGTCGCTCTATTCACCCAAAAAATAGGATAATAGTAAACCCTCAGACTGGCAATGAAAGTGTTCCAAAATCCTTGCCCTCGGTGAACCATTATAACAATTTCTCGCGGTATCATATCGATATTCGAATAAGACCAAGAACCAAACACCCAAACCTAATCGCAGCAATAATACAAAATATCGCTTACTCTGAAATATCCTCAGACCTTGTGACCGCAACATCAGTAAACCGAGGTATCTCTTAAGGAAGAAATAAAGAGAGATTTAGCAGACGTGTAACTTGCTTAGTGGTCTTAGGTGACGACGGGCGCTGTAAAAGAGACAGAATTTATCAGTTCACCATAAACATCCAAGAAAGAAATCTCCAAGTATGAAAGCATCATGCATACTTCATGTAAAACACAAATCTTAAAGGCAAACAACTAGATTGTACAAATATTGCGAATAAATTTTCTTTGAAGAATATTTTCAGCCAAATTATTTCTACTTTGTACACAAGCCACACACACACACACACACACAGAGGCATTTGTACATAAATAAATAAAACGACAAATTGTTCAATAATTTTTCTTGCTTTCCGCTCATTTCACAAACAAACAAGCATATAGTACAACATATAAACACACACACTCATAGATATAAGCGAGCAGTGTTGAAGCGAATTCGGCTGCCACAAAGAGGCAGTGAGGTTGCGGTAAACGAGGGAAGGAAGAACGAATGTCGGTTTTAAGAAATTTATTATGCTTGCGATATGACAGCAGGCGATAACTCGCTGCGATTTTTGTTTTATCTGATTTTGCGATGTGGGTGAGTTCGTGTGCATGAGTGTGCGTATTTATGTATGTATGCAATAATGTGGCATTACTTCAATACAATAACGTACAACTAATATGCCACATGCCACATCTTACTACATCTATTTACTCCTTCCAATTCTATATACATGTATGTGTGTGCACATACATGTGTGTTATTATAAATGAAACAAACAACTGAAGAAAAGTGTGCGCGCAAAAAATTAGTAAGCAAAAAATTTGAAAAATTTGCGAATCTAAGAAGTTGAAAAAAAGCTTACAGATAAATAAAGCTAAGCGAAGGGAGTCGATTTCCTGTTATTCAAGTTATTCAATAGACATACGCAATGACGCCCACTCGCTTTTGTCGCGTTCATCAGCAGCAAGTTGACACCCGTCGCCAACATTCCACCAAACCAAACCACTGACAGATGGTTTCGAATGGAAAATATTGAAATTTTAACAAATTTCGACATACTCTTACACAACCACATACATCCACGTATACATATATGTATGTAGACACACGTCAAAAGCCCATTCGATGCCATTGTATTGTGTGGAGTTTGCTATGAATTTGAGTATAAAAAAGGAGAAAAATGTGTATTGAAAAGTGGTTGGAGGTGTGTTTGAAACACTGTGAAGTATTGCTAAAAATGACTAGAGCTTCTTAGATGAAAAAAGAAAAGAAAAAAAAACATCTCTTATCTTTGCTTAGTCATGGCTGTACGATAGGCGCTCATTTTGCTTATTTTCTAGGGGCAATGACTTCAAGCTCGCGTTGATTGGTGCGACATGTCGTATGAGTAATTTTTTTCAGAACAAACTTTTTCTTTGTTAAAAACTAGGCTTCTTCAGCATGGAATTTTAAGATTTTTATTCGGTTCTCATGTAACTTATTTTATTATAATTTATAAACTATTATGCTGAAACGTGAAAAATAAATAAAAGTATTACACATATTAGCCTAGGTGATGAACTTTCCATCCTTCAAATTTCAAGAAAATCGAGACATCGTTTATATTCTTTCAACTAGATCGGCCCAGAAAAAAATTTCCAATTGCATTGACATAGGCAAAAAGCCGATATATTACACAAACCAGACCGTCTGGTGGATTCCAGAAATACTTTGTGAAAGACTAAGTGTTCTCGACGTTTATTTTTAATAGACCTCAGGACAGCTACCAGGAAGAAAAATATTTCACCATATTATTATAATATAGGCTACATCTGCAGCGAAATTTCAAATAAATCAAACTATGCATACAAAATTTTCGAATATATCATTCAGAGTCCACTTCCTGGAGGAAAAAGTGTATTCAATGTCAATTTAGGCAAAGACCTAACTAAGTTCCATGATAATCGAATGAGGTTTTCGAATAAATTCACATTCCTATTCCCTCTCTATGTTTCAGATCACTGCTATAAATGGTTTAGGCTGTGGGTTGATCCATCTATCATTCAGGACAAAGCTTTTTATATATGTATAGATTAATATTAATCAAGTATGCCACTGTTATTGTCAGTCTCCCTTTGTCATTTCTCGAGTAGCTTTATGAAAGCAACAATGTAGAACTTCGGTGGCTTATCGGTAAAGAATTTGGCTAAATAACTTTCATCGGCTCATCGGTATGCCAATTTTTTACCCTCAAAATTGCTCCGCAAAAACTGAAACTTACTATAGATAGTCTGATTGTACAAACTACGGTCTATATAGAGGATTTATCAAACCTTCCCTGCATAACACCTTTTCAATTGATTAATTTAGGACGCTTTTTTGTTTGAAGAGCTTGATGTAAGCTAGATAATTGTTCAAAGTAGTGCACAGATTCGAGCGTTTCGCCAGATTGTAACAGCTTACAATGGGAAATTCCCATAAATCACATTACACACACAACTTCACCGTCAACTCAGGCTATGAAGTATTTGAAGTTTGTCAAGGCTCACCGGGCGCTGACCATGGCTTTTTTTCGCTTTATTCTCTCGTATTCAATCCGTTTTCTACCGTCCATGATGTTCGCCTTTCACTGGCCGGTCAATCGATTTCCTTCTTTGTTTTTCATGTGGCGCCCAAACAACGATCTTCTTTGAGTAGTCAGCCCATTTTTTATTGATTCTAGACTTCACTACCTCTTGGCAGCTTACAACGTGTGGTAATTCGCTCAATTAATTTCTTTTTTTTTTCTTTACTTCCATCAGTGGCAGAAATTATTGCTTAAACTGAAAAACCTTTTGACCCAATCAAATCAGTGTTGCCCAAAATAGTGGACAAAACCCCAGTGATTTCGAAAGACTACATATTTGCTAAATCCCATAAAAAGTTTTGATTCGAATCCTGGCCATGCAAAATTATAGAAAATGTTTTTCTTTTGCCATCGCCCTGCGGCAGCGCATGTTCTTCTGACTTGAAATAAAAATCTCCTCATAAAAATCCATCAGCCGTTCGGACATCAAAAATTTTTTATTTCATCATTCACTTTATTCTATGTTTTATAATTTATTATTACTTATGTATGTAGGTTATTTCATGTTTAACTTGAAAATTTTTTATCATTCACGCTTGTCCATTTTGCACCGAGTTTATGTCGAATTACGTAAAATGTGTCAAGAACCAAACGCACACACACACTTCCAAATTGAGTAGAGAACTTCTCTCTTTGCTTGCACAATTTTTTTTTCGGATTCAAAATTTCGAATTTCATTTAACTGTCAGTTTATATATAGATATATACATTTTCCGGCGAATATCAGTGGAAACAATAACACGATATGACATATGCAAAGAGCGCAGCAATATTTGGGGAAGTGTATATGTATGCATGCACATACATACATAAATGTGTAGTGTCAGTTAGTGCGCCATAAACGATCAGCAAATTGAATTTTCTAACCCAAACAATGCATTTGCTTTTACTGTGTGACGAAACGACTTTTTTATTTTCAACTTTTTTGGCGCAGTTGCCACATATGACAGTGTTTTTTTAATTTTTTTTTTAAACAAATATAAATACGTTGCGTGGGAGTCCATAGACAACGGACACAAAGTTGAAGGTTTTATCGTCGAGCTGCAAACGCCCAGCAAATGGTTTTGAATTCTTTTAAGTCTCATTTATAGCTCGGTATATAGCTTGCACCAGCTAGATGACGCGAACCCCTCTCGGGTTGGGCCAGCTGTGTATGCAATAATTTGGTAAGTGATCTTTGAATTGCATCATTTTATATTCAGCCATATAATTTGCTGCTCTCGCTAGAGAAACTCGGTAAAAAGTTCCGAAAGACAATCCAAAGATATTTTTTGTGATCCTTATACAAATATTTCCCCAATTTTTTATTTAGTTCGGTTTGTATGCTCACTAAAATATGTTCCAATATTAACTTTGGAGACTGCGAAGCTATATTGTCATTTTCAGAGACAGTCAAATATCAAGCAAGCTGTAAAATTGTGCTGGACTTCCACGGGTATCTGATGTCGGCTAAACAAAAGAGACAGCATTGGACAGTCTATCAGTTGGCTATCAGTTCACCGGGGCTTAAGCGAAACTGTACGATAGATAAAGAACTAAGCAGACTCTTCAAAATAATTAATATGTTGGAATGGCTTTTGCTCAGTGAAAAGTGCCCTTAAGAAATATCTATTTATGTATTGAAAGGGAAAAGTAAGGGGTAAACTAAAGGCTCTGAGTAAATTTTACACGACTCAGAGTGAAAAACTTACTAAAATTCAAATCGTTACAATTTTCGTCAGCTTCACTCATTGAATAAGGGTCAGACTAGTAAAACCCAACACAACGCCTACCCAATATCGTATATAAGGTCTTGTCGAGAGTATTTTATGACAGGCTGAAGCCCACCGCCAACAAATTGATTGGATCTTATCTTGTGACTTTTGACTTGGCAAATCAACCATTGGCTAGATATTCACCATTCGTCAACTCTTTAAAGAACCGTTAAGCAGCACTAAAAGCTCCTTCAGCATCGACTCTTTGTCGTTAGATTTTTTTATTTTGATGATGGAGAAAATTATAAGGGCTAGAGTGCTGAATAGAGAAGGTATAACCTTTTACAAGAGTGTACAACTATTGACGTATGCCGATGGTATTGACCTTATTAACCTCGCCGTTAGTGCTAATTTCTCCAGGCTTGATAAAAAAGCGAAGCGAATGGGTTTGGTAGTGAACGAGAGCAAGACGAGACGCACATTACTGTGGACAGTCATAACTTTGAAGCCGTAGATAGATTGGTTTATCTTAGAACCATTGTTCACAACAATAACAATTTCAGCCTTGAAATCCAACGCAAAATCTTTCCTGCCAACAGATGATGCTGTTTGGGATTGAGTAGGCAATTTAAAAGTAAAGTCCTCTCACGGCGAACGAAAACCAAACTCCACTAGTCACTAATCATACCCGTCCTACTATTTGGCGCAGATGCATGGACGATGTTAATATAATATCTGTCCTGTCGAGGAACAGCTGTACGTGAAAAATTTAGCATAATTTTTTATTTAAATTAATTTTCTATTACTTTCGGATGTTGGTCGTACCAGGATTTTAACCCTGGAGTTCCCAAAAGCAATACGTAATATTAGCCACTCGGCTACCGCTCTTCCATGTGATGCATAAAAACCCGCTGGGCCTGAACTTAGTTCATTCTGGATCGCAAATTCATTTCTTAGCTACAAAAAATCAGATATCTGCTTCTTTTAACCTTTCGTAAACATGAAATTGTTGTCCAAATCTGTCATTTTGGATAATAAATACTTTTAAGGAGCATCTAACAATATGAAAATCGGTAGCCGATGCACCGTTGTATATACAAATCAACATTGACACTGAAATCGAAAGACTGTATTATAAAGCCAAATGATAAAAATTGCAGTCTGAGAGTTTCAACCCCTCCGAGTTTGTTTCCGCCATGAATTTAAGTCTTTTCTAAGAAGCCATTAGCCGTTCGGAGGTGGCTTATATGCATACATATAATTATTTATATAACAGTACCAAAGTTCAAAATATTTATATTCCGTCACCGAAGTTGTTTATATTATTATGACAAAAATCAGACAAAACAAATGATATTTGAAATCGGAATTTTAAAGAAATACGAAATTTATTTATGAACTTTAAAAAACTGCCCAGTCACCATTTGAATAGCAGCGAGTAAACAAAGTAAAATCCCTGCATATATATATATTTGGCATTTTGAGATTAGCCAACAAAATCAATTTGTGCACATTTCTGATAACTAAAATTTTGGTTACATCCAATGCCCTTGTATGAGTATAAATATTTATATGTGTATTTATGTATGTACACGTTGCACTAAAATACATTAAACATTCCGCTAATGCGCATCAAAGGCATCAAAAGTTAAATTATATTTTGGCATTCACTGGCTTTTATTGTCAATAACTGAAATGTATTTTTACTACAAATGCGGCCCACTTGACATACATACATGCCAGTATATATGTACTTACAGCCATTCAATATTAAGAATATAAAAAAGTGCTGATTTCCTATGCGAAGGTCCTGGATTTGGCTGAAATTCAGCAATTGGTTTAATTTTTCATGATAAAACTTACGGAAATCGACTAGAAATGATTTGTGAATGTGTCAAGAACAGCGCGAGTCGTGAAGGTATGTATGTAGGTTGGTAGATAGAACATCGGTCATAAGTTGATTAATAGTTAGTGGACTTAAGAAAGTTTTTTATGGCCATAAAGCTAATGCATTGAACGTCATAACTTTTGCATCTGATTTAAAAAATTCTTACATAGTTTTTTTTGCAAATATTTTAAATGTATTTATTATAAAAAAATATAAATAAAAATAAGTCTTTTAAAGAGATTTTTTCAGCGCTAATGTGACTTCCTAAAGAAAGTGGGGAAAAAATCTGGCGAAATAAATTCTAATACCGGTTAAAATGGAATTTCTGAATAATCGCAACAATAACTGATTATTTCCAAGTCCCCATTGCTTCCTCTTTTCAATATATTAATAAAGGTCAAAACAAAGAAATTTACATATAAAGTCTCTCCCCTTTTCGTAGTTTTAACCTAACTTTTAGTAAACCGAGTCCTATCAAATAAGTTTTAAAGTCTTCAAAAATTTCGATTTCCAACCTACATTTTCTATAAACCCTAGAACTGTATAAATATTTATAGCAGAGTATTATTTTATTATTTGCCTATAAACTATCAATTTATCAATGCTGCGATCGACATAAAATCATTGCATGCGCAATTCTATACCGTCAATCTACATCCATTTATGCATACTCGTAATGACATATGCAAGAGAGACACATTAAGTATTTGAGTTGTGCAATAAAAATATTGAATATCGCATTTTTACTATTATTTGTGACACATTTGTTCATTTGCATTTACTTGCGCAGAGATATTTTTATATGGGAATCCTTTTTTTATAGGCCATCGCTGGCGAAATCGGCATGGACAATGTGTTGGACAATATCGCTAACTCGCTGTTCAATGGACTGTTGCCAAACGACTGGCGGAAACTGGCGCCGGCCACATGCAAGCAGCTCGGCAGTTGGATGGAACATTTGCAGGTGAAGAATGAAAGCAAAAATATACAAGATATCAATAAATATTCGAGTACATGATGTTTTATACACATACGATTATATGTATATTAAAAGTTACTATTATTTTGTTTTTCCTTTTTTATTCAATTTTTTTATTTACTTTATTACATAATTTGTTTTTTAATTCAAATTTTAATTTGTTTTAATTTATTGAGTTCTTTTTTATTTTATTTCATTTTTTGTTTTGCTTTAATGTATTTTAATTAATAATATTTTTATTTTTTTTTAATTCAATTCAATTTACTTATATTTTTATATAATATCTGTTAATTTTATTTTGTTTTATTTTATTTTTACCTATAGGATTTCATTTTTGTTTTTGCTTTATTTCATTTTAGGTTATGTTATTATGTTTCATTTTCTTTTTTGTTACTTTTTATTTGATTGAATTTTTTTATTTAGTTTTCTGTAATTTCTCCGTCGTCTAAGTCGAAATTGCCACATTTAAACCGTGCAAACCACTTTTGGCACGTTCGTTCGGTTAAGGTATGGTCACCATAAACGTCCAGTAAAATACGATGGTTTTCGGTGGTAATTTTCTTCATATTAAAGTCGACATTTTCAAATTAATGAAACAAATTGCTGTTCACGCTAAAACAAATGAAATCTAGTGTAAACGACGCGAAATGACAGTACCTTTGAAATGAACAAAGCTGCAAATGAACACGCCGCGAAATAATACTAAAAGAGCCCTTAGAATTTTATTTTATTTTATTTTATTTTATTTTATTTTATTTTATATCATTTTTTTCTTTTATTTTATTTTATTTTATTTTATTTTACTTTATTTTATTTTATTTTATTTTATTTTATTTTATATATTTTATTTTATTTTATTTTATTTTATTTTATTTCGTTTTATTTTATTTTATTTTATTTTATTTTATTTTATTTTATTTTATTTCGTTTTATTTTATTTTATTTTATTTTATTTTATTTTATTTTATTTTATTTTATTTTATTTTATTTTATTTTATTTTATTTTATTTTATTTTATTTTATTTTATTTTATTTTATTTTATTTTATTTTATTTTATTTTATTTTATTTTATTTAGTTTATTAATTTTTTTTTGTAATTTTATTATTATTATTTATTTTTTTTTTGTTATATTTATTTCATTTTTTTATATGTTATTTGATAAGTATCTTTTCTGCTTTCCTGATTGCCAAGCTGATAGTGTCTGAGCACCTGAGTTTAATCATTTTTGTGCTCGTGGTTGTTGTTGATATGTAGGTCGAAGCGCCTTACTCCCTTACATAACAAAGAAAATGAGCTCGTAAAAATTTATTGCGAGCCATGAAGAAATTGTTGTATGCTAAGGTGTATTGCTGGAAGTTTATGTTTTCCTGCTCTCATGACCACTTCCGTTTGTTATTTTAACCGTTACCGCCGAAAACTGAAATTATAGTTACAAACTTACATATATGACCTATTTTCTACCTTAGTACGTATATACTTGTATACTCACTCATTAATCATGGCGGCAAATGGTAAATGGCTTTGCCATCAATATGCGGTCGGCCAAGCTCACCTATCAATCACATCAAGCGCTCAGCACCGTTAAGTGGCTCAACGGCTTAAGGGCAGGAAAGCAACAAAGAAAATACCAACAACCTTAACGAAAAATTTATTAATAATTTCTTTGCTTTCCACACGTTTTTCTACAATATTTTATTTATTATTACTTCGCTGTCTCTCTCTCTCTCTCACTCTCTTGCCATTACAGAATCGCTCTACACAGTTCAAATATTGGGCCATGTCAGGTGAACCATTGGTGATCTGGTTGTCTGGTCTACATATTCCCCAAAGCTATCTAACGGCATTAGTACAGGTGAGTAATGGTGTGATGAAAATCAGCAAACAACAGAAAAAACAGCAACAAAAAAAGGAAAAAACTGCAATATAAATGATTGCATGAACTCAACAAACAATTTATTAGCGGAAGAAGAACAAGCAAAAAGATTGAATTTTAGGAAAAACACAAATGATGAATAATGCATATTTAATACACTATATTATCGGCTAATCAGAGCGAAAATTGAAAACGCGAATTTGATTTATGGCGAACAGCCTAGTGAGGGGAAATGTAAGGGAAATATGGTATTGAAGAGATGCTGGTTTCACTGCTTCGAAGAGTGAATACCGACATTGCAATCGGTGATTAGGGAAGTGGTGATCGCTAATCAAGGATGACCAATTTCTCGAGCACTCTCGTCTCCTTCATAGATGTTCCTGAATCTTGAATAAGTGTGCCTTGAGGCCATGGTCCGAACGAGTTGAATCTTTCAAGGTTTTTCCAAACCGAATGAATCTTCAGACTGGTTTTTTGGGAAACCAATGTAACATTGCCTTGCTCACGCGGTGGGTGGGACTTTATCTGATAAAAAGTATTCGTTTATCTGAAAAGGGAGGTGGAATCAATTAAAAACTGTCTCTCTTATTGATGAAATGTACCGAAACCAGTCACAAGATCAAATCTGAAGTCATGACCTCGAGCTATAATGTACTTTGTTCATGAAGATATTCGATTTTCTTCAAAGGCTTTGGACAGTTCGGAAGTGACATTAAAGCGTAAGACCATGCTTTCCTAATTTAAGCTTTCGTCAGCTCCCACAAATTAGAGGAAAGCGTCGGACAAAAGCAATTTAAGGGATGAAAATAGGTTTCATTCAAACACTCTGTTCTGGTCTCTCTAGCGCATTGAAGGTTCGAGTAGGAAGGTTTCCTAACTAACCACGTTTAATGGTACAAGAAAAGGAGTCCTAATTTGGCGCACCTTAATTAACTTATACAAATTAGTTCATGGGGAGTTCCTGATTAATACTATATAGAAATATAAACTAAAACAAGACGCACGATTGATTCAAAGCCTAAGATATATTTTCATAGAGGGTCGTTATCTTCTATGGTCAAACCAGTCGGCCTCTTCTCAAAAATAGGAATGATCCAGATATCTCCATTGTGTTCGCCGTACTTACTCCGTAGCGACCTCACCTTTGTTCCGACTTTCCTTTGCAATAATTACTCCAATATCCGCCACTCAAATCTAGCTAGTCGCTGTATGAAACCTCATTTGGTATCGAACGACCCGGGGAGGTCCTTCACAATTCTAACTGCCTTCTGGTATTCGATATCGTCAGTTTACATAGCCGTATATGTTTTGTGGGGATACCCAATTCCAACATAGCTCCACATATTCAGCGCCTTTTCGTGTTGTCAAAGGCTGCTTTCAAATCAACGAAAAGCTGGTCAATATCTATCCCTTTTCAAGGGTCTTTTCAAGATTTGGTCAGTGGTTGACTTACTAGATTTAAAGCCTGAGCTGATAAGGTTCAATCAGTTTGTTGACGGTGGGCTTTAGTCTTTGACTTAGTACGCTTGATGGGGCTTTATTAAAGAGGCTTATCCTACTGTAGTTGGCGCGGACTGTGAGATCGCCTCTTTTGTGGAGTTGGCAGCGCACACATAGGCTCCAATCGTCGGGCATGCTTTCATCCGACCAAATTTTGCTGAGAAGCTTGTGCATGCACTTGATCAGTTCTTCACCCTTTGTATTTGTACAGCTCGGCCGATAATCCATCGGTCACTTCCACTTTGTTGTTTTTTAAGCGCGGTATTGCTATTCGGACTTCTTCATAGTCGGGTAACGGAACAACTTTTCCATCATCATCAATTAAAATTTCGGACTCATCATATCCGTGTTTTTCATTTTCACTGCCACTCAACAGGCTGAAGCAGTGTTCTCTCCATAGATTCAGTATATTCTGGGCGCCCGTCACTAGATCACCCTTCTCTGTCCTACAAAAGTTGCCCCGGATTGATACCTTCTGAAGACAGCATATCTTTTCGAAGAAGTTTCGAGCAATAACCTTGTCGGCTAGCTTCTCAAGGTTCCCTCTTCAGTTCTTGATATCTATCCCACCCGTTTTGTGGTCAATCGCAAGGTTGCGAGGTAGTCTACTTCCTCTCCACTGCGACACGGCAGCTCTCATCGTAGCACTTTTTTCTTACACTGCCAAAAAAACTTAAGCTCTTGAACACTTTAGAACCAACTTTTTAGTTTCCCATCCGCAAAACACATAACCCTGTATATCCTCAAAGAACAAAATTTAAGATTTAAGTAAAATCAATAACTTATTCCTCGCTCTTTCGCCTCCTCACAGATGGCGTGTCGCAAAAATGGTTGGCCTCTGGACAGATCTACGCTATATACCTGTGTTACCAGCTATCTGGATCCGGATGACGTGGAGGAGCGACCACCAACGGTAAGTGTTGGTATGCCTGCACAAAAGTTGAAAACCGCGAACAAATAAAAACCAAAAAAGTTAAAACACACAAAACATATAAAGCGAAAAGGATTATTTATGTACATACATATATGTATGTATGTGTATGAAAAACATAAAATAAAATAAAAGAAAAAAAATTATATTGAAAAAAAATGTGAATGACTCCTGTTACTCGTGCTGCCTGTGTCACATACGACGAAGACTCCTTTGTGAGCGTGGCTCGGTGACCACAACATACTAACGAAACCCAGAAAGCTTCACTGATTTTCATATCACACACACACACATTCACACACACACAAACATGCAGTCATGCCGACACAGACGTCGCCAAAAGCCGACTGGAACCTGTGAGCGCCACTAATTTCGCAATTAAAAATTCTGTTTGCATTTCAAATGCGCTGACCCATCTGACCCAGCACCGGCGGGCATATTTTTGTAATATTACAACATCTACATACACATATATAATACGAGTGCATTCATACATATTTATTTACCTTTTCGCGTACTGAAATTTTTCATTTTTATTTTCTACCACTTTTTATTGGTCTTTTCGCTAAATGCTGACTTCACCGCATTCACCGCCATATTGATGACTCAAACGAACATCAACGTACCTACACACACACATCGTCACCGATTATTACCATATCTACCTTTACAACTTGCACAGGGCTGTTACATTCAAGGACTGTTTCTGGAGGGCGCTCGCTGGGATATGGACATCATGCAGTTGGCGCGTTCGCATCCCAAAATTCTGGTTGAAGATCTGCCGATATTGTCGGTGGTGCCCATCGAAGTGCATCGTCTGAAACTGCAGGTGAGTGAAATGAAATTGTTCCACCACAATTTGATTTTTAATTTATTTATTTCCCTTCCTTTTTTCGTCCTTCTTTCTCTCGATCAGAACACGTTCCGCGCTCCTGTCTATACTACTTCGCTGCGTCGCAATGCCATGGGTGTTGGACTCGTTTTTGAAGCCGACCTAGCCACTACTGAGGACATTAGCCATTGGGTTTTACAAGGCGTTTGCCTGACACTTAATAGGGATTGAAGATTTTTTTTACTCAGTATTTGTTGTATGTTTCGATGATTGTGCTACTTGCCAAATGTTCATTTATACTTATTTCCTTGAGGTGTACCCTTTCTTGAGTTTGGGAATGCCATCAAGTAATTATTCTTTTTTTAATTACAATTAATAAACTCTCATGAGACTGAATTTGCCATGAAAAAAAAACTGTGGATGATCGTTAACCTCATTTGACAGCACGTAAAACAAGTTTATATTTGTCGAGATCATCTAACGAAAGACCAATTAAACGAGTAATTTCGGCTGGCTTAGGCCAGAGGTGTTAGATGAACATCGTCCGAGGACACATAGCGAGCAGCGAATATATTGGGGTCAAGTATTGACACATCCCATGGTGCAACTTGAGCTAACGCTTTTCGCGATCAGAGTGCAGATTGACTATGGATGAATGCCGTTCAATACCGGTAGGTAGGCAAATCGCTCCTAGAATGGTATCGTATGCAGATATCTCGCAGTGAATTTGGTGTACAGACGACATTAGCAGGTTTCCAATTTGCGATCTTACTGCACTGCAGCTTTCTCATCTCTATCCAACTAAGACTTATCGTTCAAATCGAATCAGCATAACTTACGGCGGGTATGACGTTCGCCATTAACGTTTATTTTCCTTTGCCTTCGATGCTGTCAGCTAGCGATTAGTGGATTTTGTTGCGGCAAGGAAAGGAGTGCAATAGTGTAACAGCTGACGTGGCCTGGTTGAAGTAGCAACGGCTGGAGTAACCAGTACCGCATCGTTCATAAGGCACACGAACGGCTCGTACATCTAACTCCACAGCGGTATCACAACGAGTCTTTACGCCTAAGTAAGATCTGGTGGATCTTATCAACTACATCATCAACCCAACTAAACTCAGGAGTTAAGGTGACCACAGTAATCGAGTGTATAACTCTACAAAGACGCTTAGGCTTACCTCTTCACTTACACGGACACATACTCATCACCCTCTGATACGAACTTCAACGATATTTTACTGATTTTTGCTAAGCACACTGTCTCTTAATTGCTTTCCCCATTTAATAGAGTAAGAAGTTGCATCGATTCGCTATTGTCTTGGGCGGCCTCCTATCGGTTTAAAATATTTTCCCCCCCCACCAAGGTTATATTAGCCGTCACTGCTCTTATTCCAATCCACCGCCAGCGTCCAGTTTTAGCTTCTAATCTGTTAGCCCTGCGGGTTAGGGGATAAAGAACTTACCCGCGGTAAGGCATGCCTGTCCTAAGAGGCGACTAAAATCCAATAGTTCCGCGACAGTCGAGTCTTTATACCAGAACTACCTGGATTTTTATTCGGACTGTCACTCCCGCAACATTCCCCAAAAAGTACTTTGGGGAATAATTTTGCGGTTACAACAACAACAACAGCTTCTAGTTTGTATGGTGCGATTGCAACCAAATGTTGATTCCGTAAGGCATTCATTAGCTGCTGCTTTCATCTTGCCATCAAAAGTTCCCACCGATGAATACAGAACCGTCCTTCTTGACGATATGGATATCTATTATCGCACCACATGTACAGCTACCGCTCTCACCCGGGCAATTCAACCTACGTTCTATTGATAATCCATACTCTCTATCTCTCATTGTGGCTCTACTGACTGATCTTTGAATGTCCACTACCGGTTTTTATCTACTCAAAGGAGTCCTCCCTTAAATTTGCTCTCACACAACTTCAATTAAAGCAGGAAATCGATCCACGACGACCCTTACTTACTCATGAAATCTGAGATATTCACATCTTAAAACATTTTAGGGAAGAAAACAACTTGACTACTTGGGCTCAAGCCTGGAATGTCTGCGGCGATCAGAGTACATCTTGTTTACCTCGATGCCTCGGAGCCACTGCAGTTTAGCCATTTATTTATCTTGTCTAGGAATAGACAAATACAAGAGTTAGTCATCTACCTATCACTTTTTGAACTAAGCCATTTGGGGCCTTGACACCTTTAAAGAAATGTTTAAGCTTGCGTTTAAACGAATTCGGGGGATAATAAAAACCTTCTTCCAAAATGCGGAGTCTTCAATCGCAAGCCAGCTTACGTTAGTCCTCGCCCAATGCGATCAGAAGAAATTGTTCCTGTTAATGCTCAAAGTGCTGTAGCTTGAACAAACTTCATCATCATCTTGACTGTTGCCAGCAAGCAAAACTATTCAAATTTGGGGCCCTGAAAACCCCCACGCAATCACGAACAAGCCAATGCATACCAAAGGAGTGGCTTTTTGCTGCGGCATGTGCATCGGCGGCACCATTGGTCCGCTTTTCTTCAAAACCGAGAAGGAGCTATCATCACCAGATTCATTCTTTCCAAACGTTGAATGACATGGACCGTGTTTGGCGCTACGTGTGAACTGACCACCTCGCAGCTGCTAATCGAAAATGTGTTGAAATATTGAATCGACAGAGAGAACAGAATGGTCTATATTTTGTCTTCGAAAAGCCGATTTCGTTCACTGTTTCAATTACCCAGTAGCTAAACAATGCACAAAAAATTGTTTGGAAAAAGTTTGATGCACAAAGAAGCTCGATGATGAGTGCCCCTCATGAGTTAACGAGAAGAAACCTGGTGGACCGAGTTTCTATTTGCGCTCTCTGATGGTGACTCTTGTTGAAAGTTGGATAACTAACAGCAATGTCAAGCGAAAACGGTCGTGGTCCATGGGCAACGATACGAACGGTCTCCAAACCACGTTTGACGACTAGGAAGGTTTTGTTATGTATTTGGTGCGACAGGGAATCATTAAATTTGAGCTACTGTTCTACCCCAAACCTCTTATTTCGGACCTGTATTGTCAACAACGCCAGAGCACACGTGATAGTGACTCGCCAGAAGCTCCGAGAGCGTGCTTAGTAGGTTCGTATGTATCCTCCTAAGAGTTCGGACTTTGCATCAAGTGATTAACATCTTTGCCTCTTTATGGCGATTGATTTGGCTGCTGAAGAATAGACCTCAGAGGAGGCCTGTGAAAATTTATTGCCTCAATTATTTGCCAATAGTGACAAGGGTTTCATTAAGAGGGGCATAATGGCGGCCGCGGTAGCCAAGTGTATAGCAGTGCGTACTGGCATTCTGAAGACTCGGGTTCATATTGCGGTGCCAGCAACATCCAAAAGTTATGGTAAATTAATTTAAATAAAAGTTAAGTTAAATTTTCTAATTGCGGTCGCCCCTTGGCAGGGAATGTCAACCCCTACGAGTGTGTGTCGGACATGAAATAAAGACTCCTCATAAAACAAGCAGCCGTTTGGAGGCGACTTAGTATAAAATGTAGGTCCCTCTATTAGAAAAATCGCTGCAGCGGTTATAAAGCGCCAATCATGTATATATATACAGTGACATAACCTTCAAAATGGCAAAAAGATATCGAGCAAAAACGGTGCATATTTGACATAAATTGGATAACTCCAGCTGTAGCAAATAATTTCTAAATCTTCGTGTCTACCTTGAGTCAAAAGTATTTCAAATACAAAACCAATTTTATTTTTTCCCCGACGATAGTCCAATGAATTCACAAAAAAATATAAATAAATTGGACTTATTTCGCACCAAACAAACTTCACGTTTCATCAATGTACGTGTATGTACGTATGTATGTATATTTTGCATAGTTCATGTATACAATTTGGCTACAACTGATTTTATTTATTGCATCGTTCCGAGTAAATTTTGTCTTTTATTAATTTTTTGATTCCCTGAAAGCACCTGAAGCTGTTTCTAGCTCCTTCTATTGCCACAACCGAAGCATATTTTCAAGCTTTCCATAAAATTTGCCTTCCTCAAAGGCGGCAACAATTCCAGATTCTGTGAGCCACTGTCATCCGAGTCCAGATCTGATTCAATGGTCATTTCCTGTATGCTGAACGTGTCGCTGAGCTCTGCTTTGCGTTGAGCATTTTTCACTTTAGCCGGAAAGAATGTTATCTCCTCCGGGCCATCGCTATGGAGTGGAAGAAATAATTTCTTCTTATAATTATTTTTTGAAATAAAAAAGAAAATAGTTTAAACAAACCTGCTATCGGATTTATAATCTACAAGTGGTTTCTGCTCCGCATCGCCCGGTATGGATAGTCGACTAATTGGTATGAGATTCGCTGATTGAGATTTCCGTACCTAAGGAGGGCAATAGAAGAAATGAAGAAAAATCAATAGATCGCCTACATTCATACAAAATAACTGTGTGCAACTCTTAATGGTACACACTTGCTCCTGCTGCTGGTATTGACTGAAGTTGCGCTTGGCACGCTCAACTTTCAGCTCCAGTTTACGCTGCAGTATGCGACAGGTGTTCGGTGCTGGTTGTTTGCTAATCGCTCTGCTCTCATCCTCACTTTCACCTGCCTCTAGCGACGCTGCTCTGTGTAATTTATTGTTTATTAGCTTTTCTCCATTTTCCGTCACCGCACCATCAATTACTGGACCACTGCTGCCACGGAAGACTACCTCCAGATCCGCCATATGGCTATTTGCTGACGCATCAAATACTTCATCGTTCATTGTGTTTGTTGGTGTTGCAATGCTTGCCAGCTCAGCCTGTAGGAAGACAACAATGGAATGCAATAAGAGAAATGCAAATATTTCTAATGTCGACGAAAAGACTCACCACAGCTGGTTCTTCGAATATATTCGATTGCTTATCCTCACTGTCTATGCCGCTATCCTCCATGATGGGCATTTTCCTTTGGCCTTGACGTGTTGACGAATCAATTTACTTAATTTGTGCGGAATTTTACAATTTATTATGGATTGCAATTTTCTTTGCAACTGCTTCTCTGACTACATTTACTGTTATATTTGACAAAATGCCAATGCAGTGGCGTAATGCGCATGTCCTTCGTGTTATCGCCGTAACAGCTGTTTGGGGTGGTTCTTGTGCTTCTTGCAGGCAGCCGAAGAGTGGGAATATTGATTTTTCCACAGGTACAGCATTGCCATAGCAAACTGAAAGATTTTAACTTTTGCATGGACATATATACATGCCTATATATGCGTTTCTTAAAAGCCAATGATTTATTTAACGGTGTAGTACCACATATTTGGTAAATCTGAATAGCATAAGGGTGCTGGGTTCGGGGCCTGCCACAAGAAACTAGCTCCACTGAAAAAGGTAATAACGCCTCTTTTGATGAGAACCCGGTACCCGGTTCCTTAATTGGATAGGTGCCGCTGCCCAGCTGGTTGATGTCCTCGTAAGTATAAAGGCTGACATCACCGCCGTGATAGACGGTACAAGGACAGTAGCCATAGACCTTTGTAACACTTACTTCGCGGGTTCGAGGTGGGCATTCACTTTGACGTATGAACGTGCTACCGTAATCGGTAACAATGCAAAATTTTTCAATTTATCGCTGATTTGCACCCACGGCCCGTCGGATGAGAAGCATGATGTGACCAAAAATGTGTTTTATAAGTGCAAAATTTTGCTTGGCGACTTTAACGCCAACAAGGGGAAGGGGCGCATCATCGACACAACTATCGGAAAACTCAGCCACTACGACAAATGATCCCCAAATATGTTAAGGTTGCTTCTGAGCTTCTAACACAAGAAAAGTCAGCTAGAAAACAGTTCGAAAAACTCACTATCGATCGATCAAATCAATCCAGGCTTGGCAGTAATGAACGCCCGTCAACAAACACAAGGAAGATTTGAAGTCAACAACTTGCAATCAAAACAGACAGCCGAACGGTTTTTACTCCACATGCACTCCTGCTCTCTGTGAGCCTTTCAATCTCCCTACGTGCAGCTGCAAACGAAACTATTGGATTTCGAAAATGTGGCAAAAACAGCTGATATGACAAGGATTGTCGTGTCGCGGTACAGAGAAAATAGACTGTCTCCCTTGCGATTGAGCACAACACGTACGGGGTGGGATAGATACCGAGAGCTAAAGAGTGAAGCAAGATGTACTGGATGACTAAAAAGGAAAGAGGCCGATATACGTTAGTATAAAAAGCTGGAAAAGCTGGCGGACAACAGACAGACAACACGACTTACAGGCGGTTTCAAAACCGGATCATACTCTTATAGGAACCAGAGAGGTGATCAAGTGATGGGTGCCGAGAGTATACTGAGTTTATGGAACGACCACTTCTCCAACATGTTGAATGGCAATGAAAATGGAATACCAGAAGATGACTAAACCAATTACCCAATCAATGACGGTGAAGCAGATGTTTCGTTGCCTGAGTATGTAATTGTTTAAATGGCAATTGCCCGCTTGAAAAACTATATAGCGGCGGAGACCGCTGTATTACCGGCGGAGACCGCTGTATTACCGGCGGAGCTATTTAAATACGATGGTAAAAAAACTAACGTTCAAATTTTTTTTTGCGAAACTTGGTCGGATAAAAGCATCCCCGATTATTGGAACCTAAATGCGTTCTGTCCAATCCACCGAAATTGCCCACTAATTCTTCTCCAATTGCCATGGGATAAGCTTCCTAAACATCGTTGATTCAGTGGCCAATATTTAAAACCATGACACTAAATAAGTTCTCAATGTTTCAACGGAAACTACTGTTCCAAGTTTCAAATACAGATTTCGGTTGAAATAACGGTAAGGAATGCCCAACTCCTAAACCAAATAAAATACGCAATAATTTTTCATATTCTCTTTTACATCATTACTTTATTTACAAAATTGTTTAGTAACTCTCTTTACGTAGTTTTTCAATCAATGCACAAATCTCTACTTTAATCATACAAAAAAAAAACATTAACCGTAAATAAGGCACTTTGTAATTACAAAAAGAAAAATAATAATAATAATAATAATAAAATAAATCGTTTAAATTAATATTTATTACAAATTGAATTAACCATTTTATCGTTGTTGTTTTCATTTTTATTTTTTGTTTTATTTTTTTTTTTTTGTTTGTGTGAGTATTAGTACATTGGTTTATGTGTGCAGTTTGTGCTTTTGTGAGTGTTGTTATTGTTTATCCTTGTGACTGTACCCAAAGACGCGAAGTATATCTTATATTCCATGTTTCTTTGTATGTTTTTGTATGTATGTACGAAGGCGACCTTCCACTACGTGCATCACAAATGTTCCTCAACGGGCACCACAACAATAAATAGGAACAAATTAAAAACTAAATTTATATTCATAGTTTATATATGTACGTTTGTATATTAAATGTATGTAAAAGCTATTATTTTTCGTTACATATTTGTGTGTATGTATTACAAGTATTTGTTGTTTGTGTGCTTTTTAAGTTTTTTTTTATTAACAAAAAAAAAATAACAAATTGATTACTGAGCTGCTGAGAGTCTACTGGTCGGCTGTAGGTATTTGAATGTTTGAATGTATGTGTGTGTGTGTATGTGCACTTGTATATCAAATAGCTGAGAAGCTCTAAACTCGTTTTCACCGAGCTGAGTTAGCTATTTTTTTTATATGTATTTATGAAAGTTTTCTTGTTGTATGGCAGGCATTCTGCTTTTAATTTCTAAATTTATTTCATAACGGAAAATACTGGCTTACTAAATTTGTGCTTCTTATATACGTTAGTAGTACTGTTATTTTATTCTTTTTTACTTTCGCTTTTTTCATTTATATCTTATTTACTTTTTATTTAGTTTTTTTTTTGGAATTTTTATTGCTTTGAGCTTTTTGACCACTGTCTCAAAATGGCAGCTTCCAAAGCGCTTTTCGCTGCTAGCGCTTCGTCGTCGGCGTCGTCGTCGTCGTAGTAGTCGGCCTACAGCGCATTTGGATGGGAGTACGAAATTTGGCCAGCCAACGTACATGATCTGCAACAGAACTTGGCATAGTACTTGTGATAACAGTACCTACCGTCGACGATTAGTTTGCAGTTGGCGAAATATGGATTATCAATACAATCCGGATGGATGGGTATCGTAGCTGTGTAGAAAAGATTTTAGTTAGTAAAATAATAACAAAAGTGCGTAGAAGAGGTAAATTCGGCCAAAGCCGAACATTAAATACCGAACGCAACTTTGAGTTATATTGACTCGGTGATCTTGAAATCTAGTTATAATTTTTAGTGTGAGTCCTCAACGAAATCAACCAATGACAGGAGCAACCGCATCCTGCACTTGAAGTGTCTAGTACTTGAAGTCCCAAGATCTTATTTATAGAACTTCTCAAATTTCACTACTCATTTTGGCAAGCTTCTATTATTGGCATTCAAAGCTCAGGTAGCGTAGCTACTCCATGTAATTTAGCTACTTAGTTTAACAGGTTGCTTGTTTACGGAACCCTGATTAAGCGCACTTAAACCTATCTGCCCGTTGTGATACCTATGTTGGTGCTGACAAAGAGATTACTTTAACCTTTCCAAATGTTTAAACCACTTGATGTGTTTTATGAAGGCCGACGCAAGCTCTGCTAGGCAATCGAAGAAGAAGTTTCCAAAACAAAAGAAAACAAGCAGTGACTAAGGTGGTATTCCAATGATTTCTCCTCATCTATGTCCCTACAGCTGCGGCAGAATTCGTTTGAGAAGCTCCCCGTCCTTCGACCAAGCGTGTCCATTAGAGAGTGTCCAGTTATTATGCCGGTTGATATGGTTATGTGGGTCTGGTTTAGGAGGAGTGGAGTTTGAGTTCTGTACATCTCAATCAATTACCAGATTTGTCTTGTCACATTACACGCGGTTTCGCTCTGCCAACTGATGTTGGCCCAACTGGTGAAGGCTAGTTTTAGCAGGTACTTTGCCGAGAAGCTTCATGTAATACTGTTTATTCTGATTTGTAGAGTGCTACCGGCAGCAACAATACAATAGTAGACCTCGGACGGAAGCCTTAGAGGTAGTTTTACAAGTTTTTGGACACCCAGCCTCGTTTCGATTATCTCTTTCCCATCACGAATGTCCATGTTGCTTAGCATAAGGTAGCCCTTCCGGATGCCCTGTCTCAGCGCAACTCAAAGGCGAGAAAGAGCGGGAGGTAACCATTTATCTTTTACTACAAATCACCGATTCCGCCTTCGACCCGAGCACACTTCACCTACCTTCTATATATTCATTGAATACCTTCTGCTCCCAAAATGTCTCGTATTTAAATTTACGAACATGAGACAGTTTGACTTGAAATAGCAGACGGACAGATGGATACATACAAGTAACTCCATGTCAATTCCTTGCCTTAAATAGGACAACCAACTAGTTATGGCTTCTGCTGGCGAGGAACAAATATTTTGTACTTACACTCAATGGTAACTCTCTCTTCGCTGGTATTGTAGCTCACAGAGTTTCTAGCCGTACAACCGTACATGCCCGTGTCCTCGGTTGTGACATTTTGTATCACCAAAGTATGTGGCTCAGCTGTGGAATTGATTAGATGAAGATCAGAAAGAAGAAATTATCATTTCACCTTACCTGTGATTTGTATGCGCTCATTCGCTAATAATGGTATCGAGTTCTTCGTCCAGGTTACAGTCGGTGCAGGATAGCCCTGTACCGAGCATTTCATGGCTATGGCAGAGCCTGGCGTGTAACTGTTTCTAGCATCCAACGCGAGTATAGCTTGTGCGCTTACTATAAAAAAAATATATTTAACGAGGAAAGAATTTATGAATAAATTGTTATGGACAGAACAAAACAAAAATCACATGCACCAAGCCACAGTAAAAAGGCCTAAACCCATATGTCCAAACAATCTTAACTAAACAGCGTACATGCTAAGCACCTCCCCGTGCGATTGGTACTTACTCAACTGTGATCGACGCGGTACTACGATAATAACAGGTGGTGGTGGTTGTGCAGGTCGTTGTGGGCGATATGGTGCTTGCGGTGCCACGGTAGCCCTAGCACGTGCTGGATCTATAATATATTGCAGGTAAGGCGCTTCTGCATTGTTGGAGGCACGTGCCGGTCCCACAGCCTTTAGCACAACCTTAATTGAAGTTGGACGACCCAATCCATTCCACACTTCACATGTATACGGTCCGAGATCGGTTAATTTTATCGAGCGGAACATCAACGAGTAGTCACGTGTCAGCTCAAAGCGATCACTTACCAAGCCCAAGCGCTTACGCTGACGCCACCAACTGACATGCGGTGCTGGATGTCCTCCAGCGGGGCAGCGAATTTGCGCTGGTTGATTGAGTACCACGATTTGGGTTGCATTCTTATCGCCATACACGTAAGCGGGGATCTCTTTTGGTTCTACTCATTGTTTATTTGAATTTTTTATTAGCGAAGAAAAAGCAAGTTTTGTTAAAGACAGTATAGAAAGTTAAGCGCAAGGCAAGCATAAGTGGTTCAACATGCAAAATATTAAAGAAGAATAGAGTCAAACATGCTCTGTATTAGTACAAACCAACACCATATCGGAAAAATATTTGAGAGATCTTACCTGTCACTGCCAGCTGCACCTCACGTCTGACTGGATCGCCAAGTCCGTTGGAGGCCACGCACACATACGAGCCGCTATCTGTCTGGCGCACTTGCACAATTGTCAAGTCTCCGTTGGCGGTAAGTACATAGCGTCCTTGGTTGGTGTCGATCTTTGGGAAGAGAGGTCGGGTTCGGTTACAAAACAAAAACAAAGTGTAAAGACAAAGGTATGGGGAGATATGTGTTAAGCTTAGCTTAGCTCTGAGAGAGTCACTATTCCACTGTCAGCGAAGAGCGTTTTCGAAACTAGACCGAAACGCATTAGATACGAAGAAATTTCTGACTAACAGTAACTTTAAGGATGTGCTGAAGCTTTTGCGGGTTACTCTAAATAAATAAATCAGGCTTTTTAAACAGATTCTTAGACAACCTCCTTTTTGCATTTGCTAGTATGGGAAGATTTCCAGTCCATGACCTTGCGCATAATAGAATGTACTGCCAACAGCTCGGCTATTATAGCCATTTGGATGGTTGATTTGAAATGCTGTAGCTTCTTTTTATTATTACACACAAAAGACTACTTCGAACTGGGTTCTTAAGAAATATTCGTCAAAACTTACCAAGACATTGCTACGAGACCACGTAACATTCGGTGGTGGACTACCCGTCGCGAAGCAACGCAAAACAGCTATGCCACCGGCAGGTATCTGTACATCGACTTCTTGCGGCTTCTTTGGTTCCAAAACAGCTGGTACCTCACCGGGATAGATGACAACCGGTGGAGCAGCTGTGACTGGCGGGCGAGGCCGTGTGGTAGGCTGTGTGGGATGTACACAAACAAAACCACAACCATTGCTACAACACTTGTTATCCTCACGACAATCAGCATCGGTGTAACATTCGCGACCGCAATTTTCATCTGTCGGCTGAGTGAGACGCGGGCACTCACCGGTCTTATTAGTTTCACGGCACACGGGCGCAAATTGACGGTCGGCATTATTCGAGACGTCAACGGCACACTGTTGACCTTCGGGACACTCATATTGCTCGCAGGGATTCTCACAAATACAACGTGTACAATCGGTATTCTCCTCAGGCACACGACGACTGCCGAATGGACAACGCAGGGCACGACATTCTTCTTCAAACGTCTCACATTCGTTGGGTAAGACCTCGTTTTCGCTTGGAACAGGACTTTCGGTGGCTAATTGGAGGAAGAGTGTAAACAAATTACTACGGAAATACTTTTAAAAGTGGAGAGTAAATTGGAAAAATGAAAAATACAATAGTGAATATTTTAGAACATACAAAATCCCAGACTAAATCCCACTACCGCGTGCAAACCAAATATACAAATGATAAAGTGGAAAGTGCAAAAATACTACAAATACGTGAGAGTTCAAGCAGAACAACTTAACTTAAGACTTAAACTAAACATTCCAACGAAGAAGAAGAAGAAGAAATTATATAACTACAGAAAAGTGCAAAAGTTCAAGTGCAAGTGCAAATGCGGCGTAAAAAGTTCTTTGTTTCGTATATTTTTTGTGCATAATAACAAAAATAAATATATATGAAAGTGTGCGAAGGTAGAGTGCATGAGGATACATGGTGGGTGCGTAGAGGTGTCTACATGTACTGTGACGCATGACAGACGCTTACTTGCACAGTAGTTATAGCAAGCTTCGAAAGATCGGAAGTTATTCTGATTGCCAGCGCAGCCAGAATATATGAAAGCCATGCAAGTGCCCAACTCATCATTATAATAGTAACGACGTTCATCCGCTGTACGGCCACTGCAGTGTCCAATTTGTGGTGGCAGCTTACAAATGTCTACTCAAAAAAAAAAGTATCAAAAATGTTTTAAAAATTCCTTCAATCGGCGACAAGCGAATGCAACACATTCATCAAACTATCTTTACCTTTGGGCGCGCTCATCTTCGGCTCTTGACCTAAAATGCATACCGACTCGCACTCAGCAAGTTGTGTAAAACGGTTGCCAGTACCCTCACAACCGCCATAAGTGAAGGGCGCACATGAGCCGGATGTCTTATTGTAATAGTAACGTACCTCCCATTGATTGCATGGACCACTGTCCACCATTTCATTGCATACATCTACATACACAATTGCACATACTCGTCAAAATTTTCGTTTCGTAAATTGTGTTTTAACAAATAATCATTAACGTTGCTTTGATATTCACTACTTACCCACACCCCTGAATTCACCACACTGCCGGATACACTGCTCTTTGGACTCGAAACGATTTCCATTGCCGCCGCAACCGGAATAGGTGAAGGCTGTACACGCCATATTATCAGTACTGTAGAACCAAGCCATAGTACTATTCTCACAATCGCCTGTCTCAACGGGTAGATCGCATACGGAATAAGCCTGCAATTAATCATTTATATTTAATCGATATAGTGGCAGCTTCTCTCACTCTCTGTGCTTGCAATGGGAAACACAAATTTTATGTTTTGCGTGATCTTGAATTTTTCACAAAGCGGTCTTGCAATAAAAGCCGACCTAACTAACTCGGGACCCGTTTAAAAAACTATTTTCCGAGTCTAGAATTAATCACAAGTACGATCCAAATATGTGCCAAAGTTATACACAAAATTTTAGGTGTAGTAAAAAGAAATCCATTATTTTTCCAATGGATGGCGTTATATATCTGTATATCGCGTTGTGTAAGTCCGATCGGATTTCGCTCGATGGTATTAGAAAGATGACATTTCTAACAGTTTTGTGATTGACTGATTCAGTTTTGTTTGAGCCTGCGTCAAAGTTGTACACTAGCAAAGAGAAAATACGCTAAATTTCAGAGTTTTTCTTCGATAAGGGCGGCTGAAAATCGAATAATGTTTATAATCCTTATACTGTTATGTTCAATCAGGCACAATTTTGGTTTCATTCCGGTAAAAAGTGCTGTAAAAAGTGCTTAATGGAAGGCCAATGGTCGAAAATGTGGATATAATCATGGACGTTGTCAAGTCCGTCCGTCATGTAAGCACTGTTTCGATTGCCCAAGTGAAGATCAGCCCGAAGCTTTGCAAGAGCTACCAGTGCATCCAGAATAAGTCACAGTTTGGTGCGCTTTATGGGCAGGTGGCATCATTGGACCGCACTTCTTCAAAGATGATCCAATTCGTAACGTAACTGTGAATGATGAGCGCTACCGTGAGATTATATCAATGCATGACATGTGGTTTACTAAAGACGGTGTCACATGCCACACAGCACGCCTAACAACGGACTTATCGAGAGGCCAGTTCGGTGATCGTGCGATTTAACGCCTTCAGACTATTTTTTTTTTACACCTAATGTCAATACAGACAAGCCCGCTTTAATTGACGCATTGCAGAACAACATTGAATCTTTTTTTCCTGAGATACCGGACGAAATGTTGAAAAGAGTATGACAAAATTGGACTAAGCGGATGGACCATTTGAGGCGCAGTCACGGTCAATATTTGCATGAAATAATCTTCAAACATTAAGCTGTGTGGGCCATGCTATCTATTCAAATAAAGATTCCATGCCTTTTTCTGTATTTGATGTATTTTTTTAACCTTCCTATATCTCTTATAAAATCACCCTTTACTACACCAATAATTCCAGGTTATTAAAAAATTTCTTAAAATATGAATCAATCCAAAACTGTTGTTACAAATTTCTGGGCTATTTGCTCAATGAAAGAATCCTTATTCCAATTAAGGTCCGAGATTATACAAGAGAGATGTAACAATGATCCCGAGCTCAAAAGAGTTGCAGAAATTTTTCAATGAGAAAACTGGTAAATTCCGTAAAGAAAGTCGGAAACAAAACGATGTTGATTCGAAGTGTTCGCCAAAATATAAAACCCGATGATGTCGGGGACCCCATAACATATAACAATAGTCGACAACTGATCCCAAAAATATTCTTCGCTGTTTCCATATAAATTCTTTAATCAACAATACCAAAGTTTTTTAATTACCATTTTGGGTTTTAGACGTGTCTGCTCTTCAAATAATTTTTATTTGGAGATTTATATATCCCCCTAAACTAGAGAGTACTCACCGGCGCAGCTGGCTCTGGCTCTGGTTGAGATGGCGGCTCATTACCGCAATACTGCAGACACTCACGTTCCGTAACGAAATTATTTCGATTGCCACGACAACCAGTGAATTCGAATTCGTAGCAACTTTTATCGCGTTCATCATAATACCAGCGTATAATCTGATCGGAACATCTGCCCTGTAATGGAGGCAACGAACATGTTGGTTGCACATCAAAACACTGATCTTGACACTCCTCTTCGGTCCTAAAGTTATTCTGATTGCCATCACAACCACCATAAGTGAACTCATCACAGAGACCCTCCGCGTAGTTATAGAACCAACGGGTCTCATTGCCATTTGAGCAACTGCCATAATCCGCTGGCAATGTACAACCTTTATCTTCTAGCGATTCTGGTGAAGGTGCTGGTGCTGGTGCTGATTCTGGTGCCGGCGCAGCCTCACCTACGCCGAAGCGTATTCCGACATCCACAGGCGGCGACACACAACGGCTATTGCAAGCCTCTTCCGTGTCGAAGCGGTTATCATTGCCACTACAACCGCCATAATAGAATTGTTTGCAACGTCCATCCGTCTTATCATAGTACCACTTAATCTCATAATTATAACAATCTCCTGGATCCGTAACCATATCACAAACATTTGTTGGCGCAGGTGCTGCCAGTGCTGTTGGTTCAGGTTCTGGTGCAGGAGCAGGCTCAATCGCACATAACTGATTACATTCTTCAAATGTTTCAAAGCGATTGTCATTACCACCACAACCGCCATAATAGAATTGACGGCAAGCTTGTGCTTCTCTATCATAAAACCATTGTTGAATGTAGGCACTACAATCTCCAGCATCCGGGCTGTATTGGCAGACCTCTTTGGTGCGAGACAAAGGAGCCGGTGCAGGGGCTGGTGGCGCGGGTTCGGGTTCTGGTTTCTTTTCACAGCGTTGAGTGCAAGCCTCTTCGGTCTGGAATTTGTTCTCATTACCACCGCAGCCGCCATAGTAGAATTGACGACAGCGCTGGTCTTTCGTATCGTAATACCACATTGGGATGTAGTCGGTGCAAGCGCCAACCTCAGCGGGTATTTCGCAAATATCCTTGACTATTGTAACGCGCGGTGGAATTGAAAGAGAAGAAATTTTTATTTCATTATATGTAAAATATATTTTGAATTTTAAAAAGCCTCATCTTCTAGACACAACAACAACATCGAAAGCGACATCCTGCCACAGTTATGTGTTTGTGTGTGTATCTATAATTTCATTCCTCTTTAGTGTATGTGTGTGTTTCGAGTTTATATTTTGATAAACAATTTGATGTGTGCACATATGTAAATAACAGTTTGAAATAATAACAGCACCGGTTCTAACGACCAGAAAATGTTAATATAATGAGAAGGCGCAAATGTCACTAGTGAAAGCGTAATGCCTTAATGGACTGACATAAGTTTAAAGAAGAAAATACTCACATGTAGGTGGATTGACACTGAGATTAATTTAAATTATTTGAAATACTTAACAAATGCGCTTTTCCAAGATGTAAACACTGTCTGATAGCATATTTTATTTTATTTTATTTTATTTTATTTTATTTTATTTTATTTTATTTTATTTTATTTTATTTTATTTTATTTTGTTTTATTTTATTTTAATTTGAACTGAATTTATTTTATTTTAATATTTTACTTTATTTTATTTTCTTTCATTAATTATTGTGTTTTTTATTTTATAATCTTTTATTTCATATCATTTTTTTTTAATTTTATTTAATTTTTTTTTTTAATTGGAATTGATTATAATTTTTGTGTTTTGATTTAACGTAGCTTTTTTTATTATTTTATACTTTTTTATTGCAATAAATATTTATGTATAAGCAAATGAAGTTTTTTTAATTGCTTGCCATATGTTCACACATCAAAAATCACTGGCACCATCCCATTCAATTTTTTCTTGTTAAAGAAAAATCATAAATTAATCTTACCAACTTCCTTGGGGCAATGATCCTCGCACGATTCCTGGGTAGGGAAATTGTTTTTGTTGCCACCACAACCTGTGTAGTAGAAGGGCATGCACTTCTTGTCCACGTCGGAGTAATACCAGCGGGGGTGTTGTTCACTGCAATCACCGGTTTGCTTAGGAAGTGAGCAATAATCTAATTCGGCACCACAGGACGTTCCGTGTGGATTTTTATGTTCATGTATTGTTTAACATGTGTGTGTGTGTGTGTGTTTGTCGTGTGTATTGTAATTAAAGGATTTGCGCGTAGAAAACATGAAGGATAGGGGAAATAGAGCAAGCAAGCAAACAAGCAGCAAACAAACATGCAATAAAGTGAGTATGTGAAAAAATAGAAAAGTAAAATGTTTAGTAAACCATAACCACATAACAAAAAATAAATAATAAACGAAATGCTCAAATATTACAAAACAAAATAAATTAATTAAAACCTTTTCGCACCAAAAACCAAAAATTCCTAATCCGAAAAATCTTACTTAGCAGGCACACTTATGTTATACCACAATAAATAGCATATCATATCATATACCCCAACAACTTAAATACTGAGTTCAAACCTTTGTGTACGCCCGGCTGACGGCAGTGGTAGTTGCAAGCGTGCTCTGTGGGATAGTTGTTCTTGTTGCCTTTGCAACCGCCGTAGGCGAAGGGACGACAGACATCGGTCTGATTGTCATAGTACCAACGTTCAAAGTTGCCCTCACAGGGTCCAGCCTCCACAGGTTGATCACAGGGTGCTATAAAATAAACAAAAAATATAGATTAGAGAATCTCTGCACTCCTACCCCAACCCGCCACTTACGTGTCGTCTCATCAATAGCGCATTGTTGCTGACATTCCGCCAAACTATCGAAACGATTCGATGTGCCATAACAGCCTCCATAGTTGAACTCTTCGCAACGATTGCGATCCGAATCGAAGTACCATTTCTTATTATAGCCCGTGCAGGGTCCGGCATTTTTCGGCAACAAACACGCTTCTTTGCCTTTGTACTCTTGGCAAGTGTCCTTGCATTCACCCTCGCTTTCGAAGCGATTGTTATTACCATCACAACCGCCATACCAGAAACGTGCACATGCACCATATGAGGTGTCGAAGTAGAATTTGATTGTAAAGTTAGTACAGGGACCAGTTGCTTTGGGCAGGCCACACGCCTTCTGTGGTGGTTCTTTGACGGAAGCGCACCCTTCGAATTTATCGCCTTCCGCGGCTGTAATACCGTCCGGACAGCAACCGTATTTACTCTCCAAGCAAGTGCAACCTTCGCCGTTCGGTCCTTTAGCTGGTGTCTTTTCGTCGGGGCAACATTTGTGCTCGGTTTGCGAGCAATGACAACCGTAGTGATGAGGTCCCTGAGCAATTGTAAGACCATCAGGACAGCAACCGAATTGTAATGTATGACATGGACAACCTTCGAATTTAGGACCACCAGCTGGCGTAATCTTGTCCGGGCAACAGCCGTGTGGTGAATCTTCACAACTGCATCCTTCTTTGTTTGGTCCTCGAGCAGCCGTCTTTTGATCATCACAACAGCCGTATGGTGTGTACTTGCAGTCACAATCTTCGAAGTTCGGTCCGCGTGCAGCGTTGATATTATCTGGACAACAGCCAAATACGGTAAGCAAGCAACAACCTTCGCCCAGTGGACCATGAGCTGGTGTCTCTTTATCGGGACAGCAACCGAAAGGTTCACGCGTGCATGCTGCACAACCTTCATAATTGGGACCAGCGGCAGCTGTACGGCCATCTGGACAACAACCATTTGGTGTTTCGACGCAACCTCTGGGCGCCGCTGCAGTCGACTCGCAGCCTGCAAAGTTTTCGCCCTTAGCTTCGGTAGTGCCGTCGGGACAACAACCGAACTCTCCAAACGAACACGATTTGACCACTTTACTCTCCTCTTCAGTTGTGCTTTCTGGTTCTTCTGTGCTCTCTGGCGATTCTGTTGTTTCCGGTGTTTCAGTGCTTTCTGTAGAGATTGTGCTTTCGGTTTCACCAGAGCCTTCTGTAGACAGCTCGACAGTGGTGGTTGGTGGTGCTGTTGTTGTTTCGGGACAGCCCTCGTTATCTTCACCCTCGGCAGGTGTGTAATTGTCCGGACAACAACCAAATAATGTCTCGGCGCACTGAGATTTGGGACAGCCTTCATTCTTTTTGCCTTCAGCTGGCGATACACCGTCCGAACAACAGCCAAATTTGGTCTCCGCACAAGTCTTAACAATGTTACAGCCCTTGTCGAATGGTCCCTTGGCAGGTGTCTTTTTGTCGGGACAACAACCAAATGTGGCTTTTTTACAGCCTTTCTTAACTTTGCATTTCTTATCTTTAGGAGCCTTAGTAAAGAGATCTTCAAATTTGTTAGAAGAACTTTGATCATTTTCCTCTGTCGTGGACCAGATATTGACTGTCGTCTCACTGATTTCGCTTAACGTTGATTCAGTAGGTCCGCTCTCGGTTGTCTCGGTACTTTCGGTTACTTCACTTTCTGTTGAGCCACTCTCTGTGGTCTCTGACGTACCAGCTGACGAAGAAGACTCCGTGCTTACGCTGGATTCTGTACTGAAAGTAGAACCCTCGGTAGTACTAATTTCTGATGTGGATTCTGATGACACGCCCTCAGTAGTGGACCCAGTTGACCCGCTAGATGTGCTCTCTTCAGTTGAGCCTGAGGATGTTGTTTCAGATTCAGTGCTGCCTTCGCTTGTGGCTGTAGCGTCAGATGTTTCAGCAGATTCAGTTGTGACGTCAGAACCAGTTGCGGTGGAATCAGTAGACACATCCGATGCAGAAATGGTAGAGTCGGTTGAGACTGCAGCTGAGCTTGTAAACGTTTCAGCAGAAACTGATGATTCAGTGGAGGCATCCGATGCGGTAACTGTCGACTCGGAAGAGACGTCAGATGTAGTATCACTCGAATCTGAAGAAGCATCTGTCGATACTGATGATAGCGGACTACCAGTTGTGGAATCTGATGAAGACACTGTTGATTCAGTTATATCCGTAGATGAAGAAAGTGTAGATTCGGTTGTGTCAGTAGATGCCGACTCTGTGGATTCTGTTGTATCAGTGGATGAAGAAACCGTAGATTCGGTTGTGTCAGTAGATCTTGACTCTGTGGATTCTGTTGTATCGGTGGATGAAGAAACCGTAGATTCGGTTGTATCAGTAGAAGTCGACTCTGTTGATTCTGTTGTATCAGTGGATGAAGAAACCGTTGAGTCGGTTGTGTCAGTGGATGAAGATACAGTAGAGTCTGTGGATTGTGTAGAGTAAGATGCGGTAGATTCTGTAGATAATGAGGATTCTGAAGATCCAGCTGTGGACTCAGTAGAAGCAGATGAAACTGTAGTGTCAGGAGATTCTGTTGATTCAGAGAGCTCTGTAGATAGGTCCGTTGCAGCCGAGACTGTCGAATCAGTTGATTGAGGTGAAGCTGAGGACTCTGTAAAATCAGATGTTTCAGAAATATCTGTAGTGCCAGTAGATGCATCAGTGGTCTCCGTAGATTGAGGTGTTTCAGAAGAATCGGGAGATGCGGTAGTTTCCGTTGAACCTGTGGAATCAGAAGATGAGGGAGTAGTGTCGGCAGATATACTCTCCGAAGTTTCCACTGTTTCCGTAGATCCTGTAGATTGGGGTGATGCTGATGATTCGGTAGAAACTGATTCTGTTGAGCCTGAAGAGGCAGTTGATTCAGTCGTATCGGCGGAAGTCTCCGTAGATTGGGTAGATTCAGGTGATGCCGAAGATGCTGGTGATGATGATGATTCCGATTCTGTAGAACCTGTAGACTCGGTAGAGCTTACGCTTTCACCACTTCCTTCTGTAATGAGAGACGTATCCGTAGTTAAGTCAGTCTCCTCGCCTGAGCCTTCGACTGTACTGAGTGGAATGTCCGTCGAGATAGTTTCACTTGACTCCCCTGTTGCGTATGGCGAATCACTATACATCAGCTCGTCAGTAGCTAATGACAGCGGTGGTGCTTCATTATCAAAGTCTATACCCTCAGATAATTTCAGATCCGAAAGTAACTCGTCTTCTTCTTCATCTTCATCCTCACATTCCTCATCTTCGTCATCTTCGGGTGGAATTGGTGATGCGGTGCTATCGACTGGCAACAGTTCATCTTCAGTACAAGCTTGTGTATTGCATTTCTCTGACAAAGATTCCATTTTGGACTCCTCGCAGTTCAGCGACTTTGTGCCATTAGCTAAGCAGAGCACTTCACGAGTGCGTTCCCCTCCACCACATGGTTTACTGCAAGGTTCCCATGGCCCAGTAAACCATTGACCAGGACATTCTTTTTCTTCGCCTTCACACTCCTGTTCCGTTTCCGGTTTTGCTGAAGCATCACATTTAGATTCTTCGGCTGGCTTTATACTTTTGCCATCGAACTCTCCACATATCACAATACGCGATTGAACACCCTTTCCACATGCCGCAGAACATTTACTCCATTCGGATGTGAACCATATTGGCTTGCATTTAGACGACTCGCAAGGACGTGACAGAGTTGGTACTTCGGGAGCGCAAAATTCATCAGAATATATCTCGCCAAGTTTGGATGCACAGACGGCAGTACGAGTTTCGGTCTTCTGGCCGCATTCGTTGCACTAAAAGCGAAGAAAATATTGATTTGAGATTTGGGTTTTATGTCAGCGGATGATATGTTCCGATCTTACCCCGCTCCATTCTGAAATAATCCAGTCCACACCTTCACAGGGAGTCAACATGCATTCCTTTTCAGTGGGCGGCTTCTCTTCTACACACTCTTCTTCTGGCAACACCCGTTTTCGGCCGTTCTCTTCAATGTAGCATGTAACCTTTCGCTTTTGTTTACCTTCACCGCACAGTTTGTCGCACTAAAAGTGTTTGAAGGTATGTGATATGTAAAATAAAATATGCAGGGGAAACTCGACGGAGAACAACTCACCGGAGTCCACGGACCCAAATGATATTTCGGACAGTTTTTCACATCTCTATTGCACTCCTGCTGGGTAGCTGGCTTATTGCCGACATCTTTCAAGCATACGGCGTCTTCTTCTGTTGTGTGCGTACTGCGAGCGGTTTGAAAATCATTTTTAAAAATTTAATTTCAAACATTCTCAATTTCAGTTTTCATTATACCACTTACCCATTGGGAGATATACGTTCGCAGGTGACAGTTCGATTTTGCATGCCATCAGCGCCACAGCCTTTCGAGCATTTACCCCACTCACCCTCTACCCAACGTGGTGCACAGGGATCCTCATTACAAGATTGTTCCTCCGGCAATTTTTTGGCGGCATCACATAAATTGGGATCGACAGTCTCGAGTGTCATGCGATTAGTGCAGGTGACTGTACGTGTTTGTGTACCGCCACCACAAGGTTCACTACATGGTTCGAATTCCGAATGGGTCCAAGAGTACTCCACCGGCAATGGATGATTAACCGACGCCGGTATGCTATACTCATAGTCAATGCTAATATTCTTATCTTGCACCAACATCATGATCGTGATAGCTTCGTTTGTGGGGCCCATACACGTCAGCTGATCAGGCGCAGCGAAACCAGCGGGTTTTCTTTGATAGTTCCACCAACAACCGGCAAAGTACATTGGACGTGGGAAATCAATGCGCCAATCACCATTCAAGTAAAAGTGTCCGGTCGAGTTGCGGCAGGCCAAGTAATTGCTCGAAGGCGCTGTCTCTTCCACGCGTATATTAGTGGCACCGCTCGGTATGAGTACGATATCGTTGTAACCTGAAATGGCACGTGAGACATATAAGTTTAATACCCAAACAACTAAAAAACGACCACAATCAACTTACCACTCTGAAAATTATTCGCTGCAAAATGATTTGCAATCGTATGGCACGTGCTACCATCGCCCCCGCACTTACGACACTTGTCCTCCTTCGCATTCGAGCCCAACATCATATCGCAACCCACGGGCTGACATTGACCATCCACGCACACATCAAGCTCCCGATCATTACAGCGTGTACCATCGATCACTTTCGCTTTCTGACGATAATAGAAACGCTCACCCACAGGCATACAATTCAACTCGCATGGATTCGGCGCATTCGTGTACGGCACCCAATCGTAGGTGATACCATCGAAGGGCACGCGATTAAAACGTGCGCACTGTTGCGACCGAAAGTCAAGTTCGCCCTCGGGGCAATCTTGTGTGTTGCATGAGAAGTATTTGCGATTGCCGCCCTTGCAAAGCGGCGCACCATTCGGACTGATTTCAAAGATAAACAATTGATTAAGGAAAGTGCTCGAGTTACAAGTGGTGGTCTTAGAAACTTACGCTGTTCTACGGCAGTCTCGCGTTTGATACGCCACACCGCCGCCGCATGTGCGTGAGCATTCCGATGGTGAGCTCCAGTCAGTCCATTCAGCGGAATCGTCAGCCTCGCCGCCGGGCACAATATAACTCTCTGGCAAGTACATATTAGCGCCATATTGTCTTTTTTGTCGCGTGCCGTACTTCGGAGGTGGAATAATATTGAAGTGAAAATTTATAATTTCCATGCATTGTGAGAAAAAAAGTTTCTAGGTGAATAATACTTACGAATCTGGAGTAAGTAGATTGAACACAAAAGAGCAGGATGAATAATATCAAGGCCGTTGAACTGAAAGAAGGAAGAAGAGAAACTATTAATAAAGATAAATATAAATAAACTCTCAACTTTTTCTAAAAAAGAGAAAAATTAATCTCCAAAATATCCGAACATAAATCCAAGAAAAAGGAAATGAAGTAGCTTAATAACACTGAAAAATCTTTCTATAAGAAAGAGAGCTTTCAAGATTATCTGCGCTTCGCCAGAAAACTTGGGTTATGTCTCAGTCTTCTCATTTCAGAAAATTCAAAATTATTGCAAACTATTATGAAAAATTAAATTAACTAAGATTAACTACAAACCATTTAAACTAGTTAAATACCCCAGAAAGTTCACAATAGAATGAGCCTTGGAGTTCCACAAGTTACTGTTCCTACAATTAAAGTAGATTTTAACAAAAATATAAACCAACACTCATAAGAAGTTGACTAGATTCGAGCGCCTCGACTTAGAACAAATTGAGATCTACTCAATTTAGCTACACTCAACCGAATCTCGAACGATCAGTGCTAAGCCAGCGAGAACGATCCTAAACATGTGTTCCAAAACTCAAAAATTTAGTTAAGGCAATAAATCATTGAATAAGGTCAGTGAGCTTAGTGTTCATACACATTCAATTACAGTGGAAATATTGAACATTTCCAGTCAATTCGAACAAGTTTAAAGAACAAATTTTTCGTGAATAAAAAATAAAAAATTTTTTATAGCAACACAAAACTCTATTTCATCAGCTGATCAATCATTATTATTTTGCCAGGCCTGATTCATTTACTTCGGCTACACTTATTTAATAGAAGAATAAAAATAAATAAGTTACTAATGTTAAATATATCTCTTTCAAAACTTTTGTAATTTAGTCCCGCTATTTAATTTTTTTTTTTTGAATTCTTATTTTACGTGAATGTCACTCATCCTTGCTTAATTGAGTTTTTTTGATGTAATTAAAGTTTCAATTGCAAAGATGCTCTCAATTAACTAATTAAACGGCAGTGTGAACAACGCTCCAGCAGCTCAAAAGTTAATCAAACAACTTGTTTTAAAACGGAAAAAACTAAAATTTATGAAAAAAAAGGCAAAAGAAAAAAAGAGGATGTAACAAAAAGTAATATAAAAGAAAAAATAATATTTAACCAAAGTTGAAATGAAAATCAATTTACTAAATAAACAATAACATATTAAACACCAATTGTTTTTCCATTATCGGCTCTTGAGAGCAAGCATATAGCGGATGCTGTGAACACATTATGGAGAGTTATGCATTTCGTGACTTCGAAAATAAGCGTAGACAAAACCTATTTGAGGTAATTTTCGACCACTTTTTCGTACAGATTGGTATGGTATCTCAGCCATAACTTGACGAATGTTAGTTTTCAAAAGCTCAAGAGTTGAAGATTTACCTGCAAAAACATGGTATTTCGCATAGCCTGATATAAAAAGCCCAATGGCGCCAAGAAGAGAGATTACGCCGCCGTGTGTGGCATGCCACATTATTTTCTGAAAACACTGGTTGGCTACCATAAGGCCATAATAATTTTTTTTTTTTGGTGTTCTGGACTCTCTTCAATTATTTAAGGATATCAATTCAATTATTAAGGATATGTGTCCCCCGTATGAGAAATGAGCCTCGTCACTGAGCAAACTTTTGTTTGAAAAATTGCTCGTTGTTCAAGCATCCAATCGACGTATAACCGATGTTGTCAGCTGTTGGGCGAGCTAGACTTTAAATGGATGTATGCCAAATAGGCCATGATATGCCGTAAGAAAGTCGCAGCTCCCGAGAATGTCGTCGAGTTTTCAGCTACACTTTCACTTACAAAATCGTTATTTGAGGGGTGATCGAGCAAATTGATGATGAAAAAGCCTTACAATATCTGTAATCGATCCAGTCTCTTCAAAGTTCTTTAAATTTGTAACAATTGCTCGAGTAGTTGTATGTTGATTTTGCAAGAAAATCTCTTCTGAAAGCACAGAAATTACCATTTTTATAGATGGTTTTAACAATTGAACGCGTTGAGCATTTTTCAAACGAAACAAAACATGTTTTGTGTGCCGCTCAGCTTTGACAGATGTCAAAATATAGCCCTGTACTTTTGAAATCACGAAATGGATAACCCTTTACATACATATATACAAGTGTTGTTGGTACATACTTACGTAAGTACACATCGATCACTGATCTCTACTTTTAACTCACTTTCTTATACAAACACACATACATACATGTATCTATGTGATGGTATATGTACATATGTATACGAGCATGTGCATGCACACAATCATCATAAATGTTTGCTGCTGATCTGTGGCATCAACGCTTAGCATAGCAAAAACACAAGTGTAAATTATTTAGTAAAATTTATTTATCTTTGCCCATATTCATTTGAGCTCATTAAGAAAATATGTATTTTGATTTATATGTACATATGAATGCGTTCAGTGTATCGACTTTGGCATTCGATGCCATGGTCATGAGAACAAAACAAAAAAAAAAAACAAAAAAACAACAAACAAAAGAAGTTCACTGAAGCTGTGAAGAAAAAAGACCTAAGCTAACTAATTTACAACCAGCCCAACAAATATACTTACATACACACATACGTGTGAAGATATGTGTGATCATATACTTAACATACTCGTACATATAAGTGCAGAGAAATTGTTTTGTATGTCAACAAGTTGCACTTTCATTGCATGCCACAACCAACCGCAACCGCACATAAACATCAACCGCAGCCGTTGCCGCCAGCGCCGACACCACAACACCATAACCAACACTATAACCAACACTAGCACCAGCGCTGCGGTCAACAAGTGCATTGCCATACACTCGGCGGGTTGAGGTGCTGTGGAGCTTTCCGCATGCAGCAGGCAGCAGTTAATTAATTTTTATGGCTTCGCACGCTTCATAAACAGTTCAAAAGACAAACAAATAATGCGTGAAGAGCAGTCAGGCGTACAAAAAAAAAAACAAAATTTTTTTTCTTAGCAGTGATATCATTATCACAACGTGCCTTGGCTGTTGACCAAACGCAGCAGCAGCAGCGGAGATCGCATGATCGTGGTCATAAAGTGGATATAACGACTGTTTTAAGTATACGCTTTATTGTACTCTAGTATGTATATTTGTAATTTTACATGAAATTTTTCTTCAATGGTTGCAGGTCAACAATAAGAGTTCGATTGTTGAATAGAAATATAAAAGTATTCAGGGAAGATCTTTACAAATTATATGCATTAGAGGCTTTAATCTATACATATGCCCGAATGCCTGAAAATTCGCAGAGACCATGCATCCAGATTCCATGTATGAATGCTGAAAAGATATTGAAATAAGGAGTTTGTGTACGCCCAAAAAACACTGACGAAAAAACCCTCATTGGACCAATATTTGTAAGTTTTTAAAAAGGAGATTGGGAGCGATTAAACTTTTACGAATTTCAAGATCCACTGTGTAGTGGTAATTGAGAGCTCCCTCTTGAAATCAAGAAACCACTTAAAATGTATGATATCAAGTAATCTTCGTGCTTTTTTCTGAACTTGGTCCTTTACAAATCCTCTGCAATCTGCACTGGAAGCAAAAAAAATCTTGCGCGTTTTCTAGAATATTTATTAGAAAACTTTTTGTTTGAAAAATTGGCGTGGATACCCGGTTATCTAGCAGCTCAATACTCGCTAATTCTCAACTACTCAAATGCTCTTTTTGTTTTGAAATATTTAATTTCTCAATTTCGTTCGTGTAAAATTCTTTAACGTTGAAGGTTTTAGTTTTTTCTTATCGTATCCAGCCTCTTTCAAATGGTTTTTTGTGCAATCAACTGGGCAATACAAGCAGTGCTTACATGACGGTCGAACTCGACAGTGTCAATAATTTGACCTTTGACGCACATTCAAACAAAACTGAATCAACCGATCACAAAACTCTCAGAAAAGGTTTTTTAGTACGAAATGTCATCTTTCTAACACCATGTAGCGGAACCCGGTCAGACTTATTCAACGTCAGATACAGCTAAGGCTATACAGATTCTGACTGGCTTTATCTGATAAAATGGCACGTAGCCTTAAAGCCCCTTTCAGAAGGTTTTATAGGAGTTGTGAGACTGCACTAAATGTAAGCTCAGTTCGAAATCTAACTTAGGCTCATGTCGAGTAGCCAATGTTAGATTATTTGTTATAATTACCTATCAAAATTCATTAGGAAATCAATGTGGATGGAAGTTTCAATTCAGATGAAGGGTCAGATATACATGGAGATGTCCCAAATGCTTGCCCAATCCAGCGCTTTTCTACTATTTATTTAATCCACGGTTTGATAGCATTGAAAACTTTTTGATAAACTGAATATTATAAGTATTTTTCGAAAATTTTAATTAACTTAATTTTTCCATGCCAATACTCAGAATGGTGGTTCTGTGTTACATGGAAGTCTACAAGTCGCCAGCGCCCGTAGTTAGAACTCACACAATTTATAATACGAAAAGATAATCATTTTTTTCTCACTCCATTCAAGAAATTAAATATATTTATTTGCAAAAATTCAGATCACTGCATAACTCAAGGCGGATTGCGCTTCCTGTTCGCAATCCGATCAACGACCGCAGACGGGCAAACGTCACACGCACACTTGCATATGGTGACATAAATATAGGCACAAACAAACACATGACCAAGACGCGCAATGCCAACGAACTGAGAAGATAAATTTTGCAAATTAAATTGAAGAAAAATTACAAAAAAATACAAAAAAAAAAAATACTTAAAAATATTTTTATGGCACAGACAGTGTGACGCCAACGAAGCGCGTACTTACATATAGACACACAATAAATATATAGTGGCATTCTTCTGACACGCCGAGCGACGTCATCTTGTATGCAACGCGCACACGCCATCACACCTTAAGGTGTTGCATATTCATACATATATAAAAACATATACATGTGGAAGTATGTATGTCACAATGGTACCGTTATACGCAGTTAAGATGACGCGCACGTCAAATATGTAGTACACAC